ACAGTAGCACTTGATTCTATTTAAATGTAAAAATCCATAACGCCCCGTGTCTAATCAGAAGTAATTGTAGAAAAGCCACCGGAATAAATTTGGGGAGGGGGAGAAGAAGAAAAAGGGAAATTTAGAAAGCAAGGAGGGAGACAGAGTAGTCCCCAGATCCACTCTTGCCATCTCTGCTATGAAACTCACGTAGCTTTAGGATTGGTTCTTTTAAAAAAGAAAGGTCCACTTTAAAAGAAAAAGTTTAAAATTATAATAATTAATTGAAAAATTAACACTTACCATTATAATATACAATTATACATATATATATATATATATATATATATATATCAAATTATGAATTATTTAAATTTTATTTTAATAATTATAACTCTGTATATATACATATATTTTAATCTAAAGAGTATTCCTCATTTTAAAACGGACAATTTTAAACGGTACGGTTCAATACAAGGAGGCTTTATGATGAGGCCCACGAACAAAAGATGTAACACCACCTACCAATCCCAAAGAACAAAAGAAAAGTCATACGATTACAACAAAAATTGAGTGTCTTTTCACACTTGAGGCCCACATCAACATGTGAGAAATACCTTACAACCTGTTCATCAGATTATTCTCGGGCCACAAAGCTGAAAGCAAACGACGCGGTTAAATTTAACTATTCAAGGTTGTACAAAGGCTTTTTCAAAAAAAAAAAAAAAAATTGTACAAAGTAGGGTTGGCAAAAACGAGCCAACCCAGGGTTGGCTCGTAACCCGCTATAAATGAGCCGAGTTGGGTTAGCAAAAATGAGCTGCCAACCCAAACCAACCCGGCTCGTTTCAATCCGTGAAAAAATGAGCCAACCCGCGGGTCAAACGAGCCAGCTCGCGGGTTGAGTTTTTTTTTATTTTAAAAAAATACAAAATATAATATACAAAAATGGACAAAATCCACATATGTTGTTATCATTTTTCTTCCTTCTCTAAACCTAAGTCCCTAATCTTCTCACATCCCTGTCATTTTTATATTGTTAGGTTGCTGGCACTGTTTGGTTCAAATATCTTACCCACTTGGTAGCAAATGGTTCTGATTGTTTCTGGATGTTGATGCAAATTTGTTGTGAAGAAAATTCGAAACTAAAATATTTTGCTTTTATTTCTCATTTCGTAACCCTTTGTTTAAGTTGATGGAAGCCACATAGCTGGTGCATTAATACTACAGGGTCATTTAAATAGATTGAAAACGAGTTAACCCGCGAGCAATTTTCAAGCCAACCCGCGAGCCAATTTTTGAGCCAACTAGCGAGCTATTTTTTCAAGCCAATCCACGAGCCATATTTTGAGCCAACCCGCGAGTCAACCCTAACCCGACTCGGGTCGGGTTTGGTTAGGTTTCCTGGCTCGTTTTTTTTTCGAATCAACTCTAATCCGGCTCTCTTTTTTCGGGTTGAATGCGGGTTGGGTCGGATCAGGCCGGATTTGCCCGTTTTGCCAACCCCGATCATATTTTGCCTGAATTAAAAGAAAAAATAGGTAATGTGTCTTTTCAAAGCTATCGTACTACCAAAAAAAAATATTCTTGTGGTAGGCCGTACAAAGGCTGTCAATTAAACAACTTCGAACTTTAATTTTAAAGTTGCCAATAATTTTCATTTTACAAATATAATATATCAATTTCGAGGGTTAAGAAATGCTGCTGCAGCTTGCAAGCGAATAAACGCATGACATAAAAGATTGTAACGCTGTCTCATTTAAGACGTTCTCACCCTGTTATAAAAATAAGATATTATTACATTAGGTTTATCAAGTTTTATTAAATTAATCAAAGATAATTATTAAATTTAAATTAAAAAACTATACTCATTTATACATTGAAGTTTCAACCGCCAGTAATTCATAAAACATTTCAATGTTATTTTCAACAAATTTTGAAACATAACCAAAGAAGCACCTTAATAATAAAGCACCATAACCTTTTTTTTTTGGTAAAAAAGCACCATAACTTTACCAAGAAAGAAAAACACCAATAAAAAAGCCATTGCACAATCAAGCTCTAATCTTAAAATATACTAAACAATAATATAAATCATTAAAAAGTCTCTCACTTAATAAGTTAAGTTTTTGGATTAAAAGTCATCACTCAATACGGTGAAGATCAAACTCGTGACCTTGTGATCACTAAAACTCTGATATTATAAAAGAATTAATTCAACCTAAAATCTTAATTTTAAAAACCGGTAGGTTTGGAACTGCATCCAGACCGGTAAAAACCGGAACAACTCAGCCGATTTGAACAAAAACCGGCAGCTCTAACTCGCATTGAACTGGCGCTTAAAGCTAGCACATGGATTATAAAAATATGTTTTGTCATATTTTAGTCGATGTGGGACATGAATGAATAGTATTGTTACTCATCAGTCATCAGGAAGTTGGCTTCTCGGTTTCTCTACCTCACCTTCTTCAACGAGTTGTTCTTCTTTGTAATTCTTACCCCATTCCCTAGCCTTCAGTTTTGAAAAGTCAATTTTGAAAAACAAAGTTTTTCCTCAGCATCTGAGTTCATGGTATTTAGTTGTAGAGCAAGTTGTGTGGCAGTATTTTCTTCATGCCGTATATCTTCAAATTTTGAAGAAGCTAATAAACATGAAGCTGCTGTAGAAGTTTGAACACAACCACTATTAAATAAAATCCTTCAAACGTATAAAAATACCACTTTATTTATGGAATCCACTTTTGTCACCTCTAATGTAAACAAGCCTGCAATTATTCACTTTTCATTTTTGTATTGTACCTTTGTAATTATTTCTCATAAAGCTGAGTTATATATTTATTGATAGTTTAAACTTTAAAGTTCATTATTGATAATTTTCTTATGTGAATTTTTATTAATATAAGTAATATTTTTATATTTTTAATATGTGAACAGTAAATCCGGTTCAACCCGGTTAAACCCAGTTAAACCAGTGACCCAGTACCTCGACCGGTTTGATGACCGATTCGAGTTTTAAAACACTAGTATTGAGTGATGACTTTTTTAAAGGTTTATATTATTCTCTAATACATCTCTCACGCAAAAGCCTTTTGGGCTTGAAGCGTGGATATTACACAAGTTCAATTTTTGATTTACCTTGTCTTGTGCTTATTTAATTCCACTAGAAAGTGGAAGGCGATGAGAATCAAACTCGTGATCTTGCGGTCACTGAAACTCTGATATTATAAAGAGAACTAATTCAACCCAAAAGCTTAAACTATTGGGTGAGAAACTTTTTAATGATTTATATTATTCTCTAACACACGTCCTCATGTAAAAGCCCTTTGAACTTGAAATATGAATATTGCATAGGCCTAATTTTTTATTTACCTTATGCTTATTTAATTCCACTGGAAAGTGAAGGGTGGTGAAGATCAAACTCGTGACCTCATGGTCACTGAAGCTCTAATATCATATAAAGAACCAATTCAACCCAAAACCTTAACGTATCGAGTAAGAATCTTTTTAATGATTTATATTATTCTTTAACAAAGAATCAAAAATTAAATAAGAGAATAAGTTAATAACTACTGTTCCGAACAGCAAGCTCCAGAAGATCATTTTCAACATGCAAAGGCTTCATCCATGACAACTGATCAAAGTTAAAAACCCAAACTGACCAAGGAATTTGTTTGCCAGAAAAACAAGAATTTAAATTCAAGGGACAGATTAGGTGCTTAGCTCCATAGAGGAGACACATTAATGTGTAATGAGGGAGATATTCAGAATCGAGCTCAAACAATGTGCAAAATGGCATTGCAATTTTTTTACCAAAATGCTTACCTACAAACTATTGCTCCACACCCTTATAATGAAATAAAAGAAATCTAAAATACAGAGAGCACAAGAACCACATTTGCAAAAAATAGGCATCAGGAATGTTTCTTGCGCATAAATCCTGTACACAGAAACTTTCAGGGGAGATTATGATCATCGGATGTTAGCAAAAAGTAAGGTGAGGGAGAGCGGGAGAAAAAGGAATAGAAAGGGATGGTTGTGATAATATTTGTAGTTTGTGAGTTACTTTATTTATATAAAACTATAATAACATAACACAATATGCATATATGTCTTATCAATGACAAGCTTACAAAGCCTGAAAAATCATCTTCAGCCGATAGTTTAGGTTTAAACAAACAGTTCTATTATTTACAAGGAAAGACCAAAAATACACAAAATTCTTTACAAACTCAGACTTTTCATCATAAACATTTTTTCTGCCTTTCTTTCTTTTTCTCTCTCCCACTATTTCCTTGGTTTGCACTATTTTTTGTGTACAGAATGTTTCTGTAAAACCAATTAACCAAATACCACACTGACTTTCAGACATACTATAGAACTAAGGCAGGTTAAAATATACTACAGGACGATAACCAGACCAGCACTTAAAACCAATCATCAGATGTTCAGAAAGACAAGTGGCTAGCACAATAATAATAATAATAATAAGGTAACAAAATCTTGTTATGAAGCACCATGCCCACTTAAGGCAAACCATCCTGGTGCATGGAAACCTTTTTCTAAAAATTGTCAACTAATACCAATTCTATCATATAAAGGTTTAATCCTAATGTACTATAAACAGGCTGGAATCTTCGTACATAAAACTATAAACCCAACTAGCAAGATAAAAAGTGCATTTGTTTCCAAGGTCCTTAAATTTGTACATACTCATACTATTAATGAACAAATCCATTCCCAGTAATAAAATAGGAAAACGCACAACAAAAACAATCTGAGGATGAACATCATGAATGTATACAAACCCGCATCTAAATCAATAAATAAAAATGAACTAATTAGCATAGCCTTCATGAAATACAGAAAGTTAATGGGTAATGTAGGAAGTACACATCCAAATGAAATCTCATATAAGATTAGCACAGCAACATGTATATAACAAAAAAGAAAAAAGAAGAAGAAGAAGAAAAAAAAGCCTTCAATAACTACCTCATGGTATATACTCGGTAAAATAACCATCGAACTAAAATCTGTATGTGTTTGCTTTCATGATTTTGAAACGAAACTTTGCACTTGGATTGCCCAGTTAAGTCGTCCCACAAACTAATCACAAAGAAAACTACTAGAGTAATGATAAAGTATGATATGAACAATTTCCCTAGTTACAAAAAATTCAAAATTTAAAAAAAAAAGGCACACAGGAAGATTATAAGAACATAAATTTGGTTCTGTTAGCAGTCTGAACTCTATCCAATCTATTGCCAAAATAAAGCAAGAACAACACAAAAAATAACAAACAGCAGCAGCCTCTTCAGAAAATAGTCTTGTTGCCCTTGACCTGTGTGCAGAGGATATCTATGAACATGGCCACCATGAAAAGAATTAGAAAACCCATAAGGGAAACCAGCTGCTCCACCATACATGCTTGCATCATGAAATCCATGCAACTGGAAGTTAAATAAGGATGGTATAAAACCACCAAATGCAGCAGACAATGTGAAATTCCCAAATCTTCCGGGGGCTGCGGGTGCAAACCCTCCCAACCCACCTGTGAATCCAAAACCATGTTGAGGAAAAGGATTTGATTCAGGTGGAGGAGCAGTTTCAGGTCTCTGACCAGCAGGACGATGTGGGATATTAACACCAGGAATAGATTTTGATCTAGGGTCAGTTGATGTCTTTCCTCTCCCATACAAGGGAACCAACTTATCCTCCTCAATAAGGGCCTTACACACAGGGCATTCCCGTGACTGTGAGTGGAAGTGAAGCCATTTATAAAGACAAGGCCAGCAGAAAAGATGACCGCATAAAGTGATTATAGGATCTTGTGCTAAGTCAAAGCATATGTTGCATTCAAAATTGCCGGCATCGCTGTTATTATTGTTGCTGGAGCAGGAGGGGCTTGGGGGTGACCTGCTTGTTGATTCCCCAAACCCACTTGCCATCTGTATAACCCCAACCTTCAGATTTCTACCCAAGCCATATCTAATCAATTATACATCACAGTCCTTGTACACAAAAACCTCAATACACATATTTTGCTACAAAAGCATTCCAGATATAAGATGTCATATGATATGACTCATACATATATAAGTGATATTGCAGAATCAAAGTTCTTCTATTGTTTCAAAGCAAGTAAAATACGTTATCAAATAAAGTGAGTAACCCATGTAAACGATGAAATTCTTCTTCCAAACCTCCACAGGGATGTGATCAAACGATATTGTCAATTGCATATGTTAATCGATACAGCTATGTAGGGCACAAGGCACAGAACTTTAAGCTACATATGCTGTACAGGATATAAAAATTTTAGGGAAAAAACAAAAAAACTCAATTTCGGAGGAATCTAACAAAATCGACAGGAACAAAAAACCCAGATCATGTTCAATCATAATAGCGAATTACATAGCGGTTCTTAAACAAAATTGTAACTTTCTACATGGACGAAATCAGGGTTTGCAAATTCAGGCCATTCACAATCAAGAAATGAAATCCAAACAAAACCCAAATCGATTGAGCAAAAAAATCAATCATATAAGAGATCGACAGATTCAGAAAATGGAAATGAAGAAGTAACGAACCTGCAGAAACAGAAGCTGCCGGACCGATAGATCCTCCAAGTCAAAACATGAAAAGAGAAAGAGTGAGGTATTATTATTATTAATATTGTTTTGTTTTCACATAAAAAAAGGTGCAAATTGCAAAGATAAAAAAACAGAGTCCGAACAAGAATTAAATGACTGTCCTGTACTCTGTTTAGCGCGTGATTTTCCAGCTGGCAATTAGTCTATTTACTTATTTGTCTGTCACTAGGGGTGAAAGTGGGTCGGATCGGCCTGCAGGGACCTACGGCCTAGCCTATATATGGCCAAACTTAACCTATTATATATAGTCAAATAGAACATGTTCGGGCTTTTAAAGAAGCCTATTTAGAAAGTAGGTGATAGTCTCTTTTTTTTATATACTGGTCCTATAAGCTTACAGGACGGCCTATATCATATTATTTATCTTAAATTAAATTAATTAATATTATTCATAGTAGTATCAAATGGTGATAGTTCAGTTGGTGCATGTGAGCTAAGTAAATGGTGGAAGGAGTTAGGTTCGTTCCCTCACCAATACTATCTTTGAGAGTGACATAAGATCTGTACCAATCTTTACAGTACCATCAGAATCAACGTTTGGTGCTCGAGGAAGAGTCATTGATGCCTATCATTATAGCTTGCTTGAAGATACCATTCGGGCTTTAATATACGGCGGAGATTGACTACGTGATAGGTATGACTTGAAGAAAAGTAAAAGGTATAAATTTAATCAATTGAAATCATTTTATAATTTAATTATATTTGATTAAATTTTAATAGAAATTTGACTTTATTTTTTATGTAGGAGGAACTAACATCTCAGCATGTGATATTGCCTATATCAACTATGATGTTTACTCTTCCGTAATGAATTTTGTTACATTCTATTACTTGATCAGCATAGAAACTAATATGCAACTTGAAATGCATTTAATGAACGTCGTGACTGCAGGGTCACTTGATGATGATATTTATATAAAAATCCATGAAGGACTTCCATACCCTATGTGGGAAAGAATGAAATTCACAACATGTTTAACATCGAGCTGCAAAGATCACTATATGGCGGTCTCAAATATATTAGTGTCTCGACCAGTAGATTGAGCATCTTCCAAAAATGGTTATTTCACCAATGTTACTATATAAGTTACCCAGTGATGGTCCATTCACTAGAAATGAATACAGATCCATTTAGACTAAAAATAAATAACGAGAAAGGATTAGGACCTGAGGCTATTAATCTTAAGCGTCATAGGAACACTATTATATTCTGTTAATTGCAACAGACCTGATATTGCATTTGTTGTAAAAGTTCTAGCTAGACATAATGTTGCCTCTTAAGACATTAGAATGACGTTAATCAGATTTTGGTTATCTTCAAGGATCCATCCATGATATAGAAATTTTACATTGGTGAAATATTTTGATAATGACTATATAATCACAAATTAAATATGCATCCCTTTGTGGAAGCACTGTAATTTTATAGAAGGTTGTAAAGCTAAGCCTAGTCGTTACTTCCTTAATAGATTACTTTTATCAAGGGAGCAAATTAATCATGATTATCCCTGACAGATGGAGCCCTGAAGGCTTATTAATGTACTCTTTTTCCCTTTGACGAGTTTTCTTTTTCCCAATGGGTTTTTCTTGTTCAAGGATTTTTAATGAGACAATTTATGTAATGCTTTTGTAGCGCATGTCATGTACTCTTTTTCCTTCATTAGTTTTCCCCATTGGGTTTTCTAACAAGATTCTAACGAGACATGTATATTAGTGAAATGATGTCCAAATGAGAAGTATTATAAATGGACGCTATTGAATTAACATTACTGCAATTTATTATAGAAAATTATAGGATAAATGTTATGGAAAATTTTCGTAGCTTCAGGAGTAGCTTTACGGATCAATTGTGGGGGAGTTCTACACACTGAACTCTTTTTCCCTTTACCAAGTTTTTATCCCACTTGATTTTTGTTGGAAAGATTTTTAACGAGACAGTCTATAGTGATATGTTAACTAGGAATATTGTACTCTTTTTCTTTTGCTAAATTTTTTACCCCATTGGAATATTCTTAGCAAGGTTTTAATGAGACATGTTCATAGTGTATAGTCATCTAAGGAGGAGTGCTGTAAAATATGGATGACTTAAATCATATTACCGTTGACACTAACGATGCAGTTATGGATGATGTTACCGTTGGTACTAATGGTGCAATTTTCTCCCTTTTATGATTTCGTAAATACCACAATAATGGATCATTACTCCCTCATTTATAGTTGTAGTTTTATTATATATTGACATTGTTTGTATCAGATAGGGTAGCTGAATGAGAATCAAAAGTATACCTTACTTTTCTTCGTCTTCACTATTCCCTTTCTCCTTCATCCCTCGTCCCTCTCCCTTTATTTCATAACAATCTAATATACTTTGAGGGGGCGTATGGTAGGGGTTTTCCTTTCAGATAGCTAGGCAACTTCCGCTGGTATTTCTACTTGGCCATGTTTGGTACAAGAGTTCAATAAATTTTACCATCAAAACCGTTTGCCCAACCATTGTGTTTCTTTTGTAAAATTTGATGAAAAGCACTCTTGTAAAAACCCACATCGAAGGTGGTATTTGGAGTTTAGCTGGGAAAGGAAAGGAGCAGCACAATTTTGGAGACGAAAATGACCCTCGTTGTTGAAATGAAGTGGAGTCTCTTCGTTCTGTTTCCGCTACAGAAGTCGTACTTCTGCAACAAAGATAATTTTCAGTAGGATGCACTAGTTCTCTCTCGTTTGATTCAGCAGGAAGCCCTAGAAAGAAATCCAATGGGGCATCGAAGTGATTCTGCATGTGCTTAGCATACTGTTGTTGTCTCTCGTTTGAAACCCATTCCAAGCATCAGCTAACAAAATCGTTGGTTATGGTGGGAGTTCAGGTAATGAAACACACTACTTCGTTGTGAATCAAAATGTTGATTAGTTTATGTTATTCATTTCGCAAAATCCATGGTTGAAAGATAACGCTTCTTTATTACCCTTTCAAAAATGACCCTGTAATTCGTAGCATCGTTCGTCCGAACCTGTTGCTGCTCGAATTGAGGACATTGAATAGAACCAACGATAATGTTTTGGTAGACCACAATTAGTGCATCGGTTTTCCATCGAGTCTGCTCCACTCCCCTCCGGTAAGCCCTTAGATCTATTGTCTTTTTTTGTAATCATGATTTAGCCCTGTGTCGTTCAGTGCCCATAGTTAAAAGAATAGTCGGTGGACTTTGATTTTCATTTTTCCACATTAAGCGGTGTAATACAGGGTTAACAGAGGCAGTGAGGGATACAATTGTTGGAGTGTTGTAGTTTATGAGCTGACCTAGGTTAAATTAAAAGGGTCAAACTGTAAAGCAATTTATAAGCCATTCATTTCCTAGTATTGTAGAAAGTAAATGGCAATTTTATACCTGAGAGTGAAACTGAATCTTGAATGAGAAAATCATGAGCTTAGTTCAAATTGGAATTTAAATTTTTTGTATTGCTCGGTGCAACAAGAGTGTTAAGGTAGTTAATTTTTAAAACTATGTAAGCAAAGCTAGAATTCAAATATTCATGCATACTCAAGTTAAACAGAAGAGTTAAATAAATAAATAAATACAAATGACAAAATAATATACTTGTTCACATGGTCCAAGCTTCTCCTTATCTCCATTATAACCTTATTCAACAATTACCAGAAATTATTAAATTTTCAAAGAGGACTTCCATCATGTTAAGGAACTCTGCATATTAATTAACGCTATTATCTCACTACCTTCAGTACTTCTATCCCCTCTTTCATATAACCATTATCAGGGATAAGAAATATAGATAATGTTACCTCTGAATATGTTATAAGTTTTTTTTTTTCAAATTGCTTGTGTTACTGACAGATGCATGTACTATAAATGGGAAGAGGGCATAGCATTATCTCTTTTAAAATCACATGCCAAGTGGGTTGTATTACTCTAGTCATAGTCCCCAGTTTTCTTTTCCCCACTGCAAGAGGCATGCTATTGTAACTACGATGCCTAATGGTTTAGGGTTCTTGTTTATTAATTTGTTGTTGATATGTGATTATAATACAACATTTGTTGTTGGTTTTGTTGTGTTGGTTTCTTTAGATATTCATATGTATTTAGTATTGTGGACTCTTCAACATTTTCTTACACTTTAGTATTGTGTTCAAATATGAACCTTTGGGCATTATGGCGTCACATGTCAGAAGCCTGAAAAAGACTGGGGTGTGGAAACTAAGACGATGTTGTTGGAACATTTGGGTATGTTTTGTATTAATCCTGAATTAGTTTACATGTCAATTGTGTATGCCATATGAAGTTGCTGACAACACTGTGCAGCTTGTATTGTAAGTATTTGGATCCTGAATATGCACAAAGCACCTATATCACTGAAAAAAATCATGTTTATTCCTTTGGGGTGGTAGTAGTGGACCTTGGTACATGTTCTTCCTTCTAATTGCTAAATGTCTCTTCCTTTGAAGGCATATCAGTAACCTCTTGTGTTGGCTACATCTTCATCCTGCAACAGCTTGTGTGATTCTCTGTCCAAAAAAGCTCATCAAGCTTGTCTTATGGAGAAGTTGCCAATGGAGACATTGACAAGAGGAACCGGTTATGTGCTTTGAAAAGCTTTTTTATGCATTGACTCTGGCAGAAGCTTATAAATACTTTGGTTAACAAATAGGTTAATGAGTTTTTTTTTTTTTAATCATTGTAGGTCCTACTTTACAAAATGTTTGTTGCAGCAATAGTTATGCATACAGATGTTGTGTAAATTAAAAACACAAATTTATATTTCAATTTGATTTCTTCACATGTCCTCAACTGTGCCTTTAGTTGGTTAATTATGTTTTTACTATAGACACATGTGCTTAGGTAATTAAACTGTACGAATCACAGTTACGCTTTATTTGTTTATGATGGGACCACAGTATATCGCACATGACCCCAAATCCACTAATTATAAGCTATCCCATACGATATCAACCAAAATGAATGGGAAGTGCAACGTTAAGGTTTGAAACAGAGTGATATACTTGCGTTCTTTATTGGATGAAATAGATTTCTTAGTGCAGGTTAGGAAGTCATGTGCTTTGAAACCATTGTGCTGCAACGACGAAAACAAAATCAGACTAATATTAGCTAATATAGACCCATCACCATGGTATCATTCATTCAGTTATGAACCATGTCATTAACAATACCTTAATATTGGATGCAATGTCCTGTTTACCTTTCAAGTGCAGCTTTTTTAATTTACATTTCTTTTTTTATAGAGACCATCAATGCTGATCATCAAGTCCTGACCCCCCTAAACCATAATAATCTAACAAGTCCTGATCTTCAAAATGATATTCAGCTTATGATTGCATACCAATTTTCGTCATTTCAGATTAAAAAATTACAAAGGGGTTATTTTCGTCATTTCAATCTATTTCCCCATCTATATTTTACCTCAAACTAAACATAGACTTTATAAATTTTACCTAATTTTTCCGGTAAAATTTTTTCTAACCAAACAACTTTTTTTACATTTTCCTACCAAACTCACTTTCTAACAATTTTCCTATCAATTATATTTTCCTAGTATTTAAAAATTTCCTCCTCAACCAAACGCCCCCTTAAGGTAAACAACTTCTTTCACAAGAAAAGTTTGTTTGTTTCCCATGGAGAGAGTTTAATGTGGGGTCCACTGTGTTTTAAAAAAAATAACAAATTTTGATATGAGGTTTGAAAAAAAAAAATTCTCCTATGAAAGAAGAAGTTGTTTTCCCTACTTTTAATCGTTAAAAAATGTGCAATTTGGTGTAATGGGAGAGTAATAGATGACCAAATGAAGATTGATTCAATTGGTATAATTGAAATAAATCAATACACATTTTGAATTCAATTTTCTTCTAAACTTTTTTTACAAGAAAAACAAAAAACAATAGAGTTTGAAACTACCATAAGAGTATTAGTGGTAAGAACGTACACTTATTTTGAAGTTGTAATCACTAATGTTATTCTCTATACTCAAAGCCAACGAATCAATTAATAACAATTTAACATAATTAAAAGTTTCATGAGATTTGTTTTAGCGACAGTAAGATGTTTTGATAATTGCTTGATGTACGAATCAAATTTTACCAAGATTGATTTCTTGTTTCTAATTATTCGGAGCAAAGCATAAATGCAATACACATATTTCAAAAGTTTCATATTTTCTTGTTTCCTGATATACACATATTTGAAGATTTCTTCTATCAATTTGATTTCTCTCTCTTACTAGACACTGGTGCTATGGGTTCTATTTATAATCAAGCTTCACTGGTCTTCAAAATTTCTAAATTTTTGAAATCCTAACAATTTAACAAATCTTTTATATTTTCATACAGTTTTTTTAATTCTCTCATATTCTTAATTTTAAATCCTCAAAATCACCAAAAATATAATTACCAAGAACAAATATAAATAAAATCAATTCTTATCAAAGTAAGAGAGATTCCTCTTTTAGCATTAGAACTGTCGGTCAACGTTGATCTTGACATTTGATTTGTTTGCTTGGACTTTCAGCTCACTTCGCCAATTAGACGGTCGATATGGCTTTTTTTCATTTTTCATTTTTCATTTTTTTTTTGCGGTGGAAATTAAAACCGAGTATGTAATGCGAACGCGTTAAATGAATGGTTTAATTTATGTTTTATTCCATGAACGCCTCTAATCTTGGTCATGAATTGTAACCCAATAAGAAATATAAAACTCAAACCTTCATGTACATCACAAGACAAATACCCTTGACTGGGTACCTGGTCCAAATTCTAATCCTTGAACTAATCTCTGTCATTTTAAAATCTCATCTACCTACCCACAATTTTCACATTCCAAATTCTTGAACATAGAAATAAGACAAACCCATCACTCGCAAGATTGCAAGAAACAGACACAAACACATTCACTAATCAAAACCATAGTTTCCAAGTCCTACGTTATGCGATTCCAAGTAATACAGCCCCTGAAATACTTGCTATTAGACCACCCCAACATAGTATGGTTCCGATGGAGCCCTACCCAATCATGGGGCGCCACGTGGTCCTTTCTTGTCACAGCCATCGTCGCCTACATCACCGCCGCACTTACCCTCCACCTCATCCTCAAAATCTGTCGGCGCCGCCGTGCCATCCCACTGGGGCCCATCCCGGCAATCCACAGCCTCGCCATGTCCTTGATCTCCGTCACCATATTCGCCGGCATGCTCTTCTCCTCCGGCGCCGAAATCCGTGACACACGGTGGCTATTGCGGCGCACCAGAACCACCCCAATTGAATGGTTCCTCTGTTTCCCACTTGGTATTCGTCCCTCTGGTCGTGTTTTCTTTTGGTCCTACGTTTTCTACCTCTCTCGCTTCCTCCACTTGTTGCGAACCTTCTTCATCATTCTCCGTCACCGGAAGCTATCGTTTTTCAGGCTATTCAACCACTCCATTCTCTTGATCACATCATTCCTCTGGCTTGAGTTTTCACAATCGTTTCAAGTACTTGCCATTCTGTTTTCAACGTTGGTTTCCTCAATGGTTTATGGGTATAGATTCTGGACGGAAACAGGGTTGTCGCAAAGCAAGAGCTTTTCTTTCACCGCGAATTGCCATATGCTGTTGTTGTGTTGTAACTTGGTTTGTCACATTGGGGTGCTTTTGTTGCATTTTTTGAGAGGAGGGTGTAATGGAATTGGAGCTTGGGTCTTCAATTCTGTGTTGAATGCTGCTATCCTTTTGTTCTTTTTGAAGTCTTATGTGAACTTCTATTGCCAACGGAAGAATACTAGTTGTGCTACTCATGGCTCATCTTTGGATTGTGTAGATGATTTGGCGAAGCATGCAAGCCTTATTGCTAAGTCAAAAACTTAGAATTTGGAAACCAGACCAAGTGATCGATGGCTTTATTTGCTCTCTTATGAACTGCCCAGTTTATTTTATTTTATTTTCCTTTAGGTTGATTAGGTACACTTTCGTCTCTGTCAAATGATGAGACATTGGATACACAAAACTATTCTGTAAAGATTTAATTAATGACTTCCAAATTGAAAATGTGCAGTTAAAAAGTAAAATGCAAAACCGAATATGGTTCATTGAACTTTTTGTCTTTTAAAGAGAGAATATTTGTAATGGTGCAATATTCATTAGGAGGTTAAGGAATTGTTCTTTCTTTCACATCCGACCATATGACAGAACTGTCTGATGTATGATTGTAAGTCTAATAGGGCCTAGTGTGTAAGAAGAATATAAGAAACTTAAAGCCCATTCAGCTTAGAGTTAGGTTTCTTGGAACCTATATATATTCTATATTTATAGTCATCAGCTTTTCTGATCTTCACTTGGTAGTTGCAGAGACTAAGACAATGTCATCTCCCTGAAAGTGATAGAGTGCACATACACTTCATATTTTCCCTTGAGACATAATCTTGAAGATCTGCCACTGTCCAACTTCAAGGAGGTTATTCGTGCTGCGGTATTGAGGTGAGCAGTCCGTGAAGAGGAATCATACATGAGAAGATTCTGTACGAAATCTGCGTACCAAGAGGTAAATCATAAAACGATGATAATCTGTTTGCATCCCTTAACGCTTCCACTGATCCAATTGCTCCTTTAATTGGTATCAGAGCCGGATTGCGTGTTTGAATGTGGATCTAGTTTTGATTTACAATTTCCATGTAATTAGTTAGCATCGTGAAATATGACACCTAGGTTTCTATATTTGTTATTATATATAGGCATATGTATCCTCTATAACTCCTTTTATAAAAATTAGTGCTTTTATTTGGTTTTTGGCTTTAATCCATGGTAGATATTTTGTTGTATTTTCTTGGGTTGTGACAAGGAGGCTAATCCCTTATGATTAGGTTTCCTCCTTGATTTTTGATTTCAATTTTTCTATATATTTTCGTTGTATTACAAAATTGTAATGAAAGAAGACTAAGGAGATACAAATAGAAGACATCCACAGCTATTTTGTACTTGTTTGTGATGAATTCGTCCGCGCAAAACGGAGGTCGGACGCTCTCTCACTCTCCACCGGAAGTCTCTGCAAGTGGGTTTCACTCTTCGGGGAAGATAGGGCGCCTGGGAACGCGTGCCAACTTCGTTTGGGAGATTTCGGTGGCCATGGCTTCGTCTCATCAAGGTGGTCCTTCCTATAAAATTCCGTATCAATCGGGGACGACATACGGAGGCCCAACAGTCGTAACGACTAGGGTTTCCAAGAAAGAAGTTAGGTTTTCTTGCCATTTTTTAGTATTTTGGGCCTTTAAGCCCATTGTTGCCAAAAAGGCTTGAACTAAAACCTTATATACACAGAAAGAAGAAGAAAAATAATAGTGCAAGTCAGAGGATATTTTGGCCATCAAATATTGGCTTGTAATTTTATTTTATATTTGAATAGAAAACCATGGATTAAAGTTCATTCTATAATTGCTTTATTTTTACGAATGGATAAATTGTAATATTGATAACATGCTTGATGTGATAACATACCATATAGAGTAGGTGGTGCCATATTTTTGTATAACTTATAAATTACATGAGCATAGTAGTTATTATGTCTTCAACGACTAGTATGATAATTATTAGGGGATTATTTTGATTTTATATTATCCTAAAAAATTAATTAATAAATTTTATGATTTTTGTTAAAAGTCTATATTAATAATTGAATTAATTAATTTTGAAAAATTAAAATCAAGACAAATGATCTAGAAAATTTCTTAAGAGAACTATTTATTTTGCGAGTAATTTGTGGATCTTCTAAAATGGTTATGTGTGTTGCTTACCACAATCATGTATCATGATTGTGTGAAGCACATGATGCCTATCATGACCGAATTTTATGACCTTAATGATTTCAAAATTTTGATAAGTTAAGCGATGCATGTTTATTGGCGTGCGTGCTTACATAGTTTTTGAAATCAAACAAAGGTTACTCTCAATTAAATAATTCTTAAAAATTGGAAAAATTGCTTATGTTGAATTTGAGGAGATTTAAATTAAAAAATTAATTTAACCTCCAAGCATATTGTATGACCATTAATAAAATAATCATGCGAAGCCTCAACGGATAAGCATGACTGAATTTTCTTTGATTAAGCTTTAATAATTTCAAAATTTTAATAAAATATTGTACGGCCCAACGACGGCAATACTAAGTTACTAAAGAAAATTTTGAAATTAAATAATGAATTTGACATAGATTATGAAATTCTCAAATAAAATATTGAATGAGTGAAGATTTTAAAATTAAATAAATAATTTTAAAACCTATAGGCTCCATTTGTGGGTTTATTAGTGACATGGTTATCGTTGAAGCCCAATCGGATAAGGATAATCGGATTTCACTAGATTAAATCTTAACAATTTCAAAATTTTAGTAAAGTATTGTACGACCCATCATCGATAATGCTTTGACACTAAGGATAATTTTGAAATTAAACAATGGTTAATTACATTCAACTTTGGTAAAATTATTAACCCTCTCATCGAGGCTCTGGCAATGGCACCAAAGTCCCAAATAATAATTTTGATTTTTACAAGTGACTTACCCATCATAAGCCTTGTTAAGAAAACTAAAGGATTGTTAACAATAAACAAGAGTAGTTATGAGAATCTACTTACACGTCGTTTATTTATTGCATTACTTGTTTGAAATTATATGCCTTGTATGTTTTTTAGAAAATAACTTAGAAATGATTTTTAGTCAAAAATATCTAAATGGTACCAACTATGAATAAGAGAAAAGCAAACTTTAATATTATTCTAAAACATGAAAACTAAAATTAGTCTTGATAATACCAAGGGCACAACAACCTGTAGAGGATATGTCTATGGAAACTAAGACACAATACTCAGATTAGGAAAGAGTAGATATAGTAATTCAATGTTATGTTCTTGTCAGTCTTTCCAAGTACTTGTTTAAGAAAGTGTACATGGATAAGAGTGGAGTAGAAATGCTTTAGACTTTTAATGACATGTTTGTTGCGTCTAGCAGCTCTGCTAGACAAAATGCAGTTAATGCAAATTTTGCTAAAAGCCTTGTTAAATCCAAGGGGAAACTCAATAATGGTAACAAGAACAAAATGACTGGTTATCAGTTGTCAAACCAGTTGCTAGGATGTACTCGAAAGGCAAGTGCTTCAAGTGCGGACTGAAGGGACACTGAAAGAAAAATTGTTGAGAGGTGATGAAAAGAACCATACATGGGTAAGTCAAGGCTTATTTAGTGGAAGAATCAATGATTCAAGAACCAATGATTATGTTTGCTTCTTTTTGTAGTAGTTTAAACATTGTGTGCCTGTCAGCGGTGAACAAAGAAATTTTAAGCTTCAAAATGGGAACTTGTGTCTACATAAGCAGTAGGACACGTCAGTTAAAAGACTTTGGTTTTGAGTGAGTATTCATTTGTTCCAAATTTCAAGAGGAGTTCAATAATTTTTAGTTGTTTGGTTAAAACATAGTTTGACAATGCAATTGATTCTTCGGTTACATTTCGAAGTTCATCTTCATATTGTTTGTTCTGGTACAATGTCTAAATACTCTTTATTACCTATGTCCTATACCCCATTGAATTTGTTACGTTGAATGGAAAGGATGATGAACAAGAACATTCATCAAAGAAATAAAAGTTTCAAATGAAACATATTTTTGGCTTTTATGATTGAGTCAGATGACCTCAAATAGGAAACATGGTTTAGTCAAAAGAGGGACTGGAAGTTCCATAGTCTTTTAACTAAAAGCTACATGTAAGTCCTATTTGAAAGGTAAAATGGCCAAGCAATCTTACAAGTTCAAAGGGATTCACACAAATATTCAACTAGAATTAATACATAATAATGTATGTGGACTAATTAGCGTTCAATCAGAAAAAGTTCTGAGTACTTCATTATGTGAATGGTTACTCTGGATTTGGATAGATGAACCTAGTGCGCCATAAGTCTAAAAGCTTTTCGAAAATTTCAAGAGTTTAAGTCTGAGGAAGAAAAGCATCTAGGTGTTCAAATCAAAACACTTTGGTCTGACTGAAGTGTTGAATACATGTATGGCATATTCAGGCTTACCTGATTTAAGAGGGGATAGTTTTCACAATTGTCAACTCTAGGAACGCGTTTGTTGAATGAAGTTACAGTATGCAAAAATCAAATATTTCTAGACTTGGTGAAGTCCATATTTAGTTATTCATCCTTACCAATATCATTTTGGGGAGATGCCTAGGAGAAGACAATGTACATTCTTAACTTGATTCCATCTATGTCTGTTATAGAGACACCTAAGGAATTATGAAAATGGTGCAAGCTCAGTTCAAACCATATTCATATTTAAGGTGCTCTGGCACACGTCCTATAACAGCGGTCAAATAAGATGAAATCTTGTACGAAATTGTGCATATCTTTTGGCTACCCTAAAAGTGGGGTCTTCGCGGTCTGGATTGGATCGGTTTTGGAAGCAAAAATCATCTGAACCAATCCCTTCGGTTTGGATTTTTTTTCAAATCTGATCTGATCCAATCCAATTTTTTTTGGTTTGGATTGGATCGGTTTTTTGAAAATTCTAAAATTTGTTTCATGATTATTGTGCAAATAATATCTTTTGTATATATTGACTTTGTAATTTTATTTTTTCTTAGATACAAAAGCATTAATAAACGATAATAATTTTTTTTTGGACAATGAGATATGAAGCTCTCAATAGATGAAATTTTGTTGATGAGATGTGACTAGATTTTTTCTTGGGTTTAGTTGATGGGTTGATGTGTTAATGGGTCTTGGGTTTAGAAATTTTTGGGTTATGATTGAGGAAAGACCCAAGTAGGTAGAGGAAAATTAATATATTGGATCGGTTTGGATTGGATCGATTTTCATCTA